TGACGGAGACTGCAGCTGCCATTAGACCGAGTAGCCTCTGAAACGTTTTTAAGGGGATGGCTCTGCCTTGAACGAATAGGGCTAACGCACTCTGAATCGACTGGATTCTCGCCTCTGATAGCTTCGCGATCATAGTGCGTGAGTCCAGCACCATACCGAGGAATGTGATGGACTGGCACGGTTGAAGCGCGCTCTTCTGCATGTTCACAGACAGTCCCAAATCCGTCAGGTGGGCGAGGAGTCTGTGTCTGTGTTCCACAAGGACACTCTTCGAGCGCGCGATGACTAACCAGTCGTCGAGATAGTGGAATGCGCATTCTGAACTGAGCTTCAGGGGAACAAGCGCTGCATTCATGCACATTGTAAATACGCGGGGTGCCAGGGCCAGCCCGAACGGCAACACTTTGAACTGGTATGCCACACCCTCGAATGCAAACCGAAGGAAGCGCCTGTGATGCGGGGCTATCTGAATATGGAAGTATGCATCCTTTAGATCCACTGCAAGGAAGTAATCGTCGGGCTGAATGTGTGCGAGGATCTGCTTCACTGTTAACATTTTGAACGCGCGTTTCGCGAGCGCTTTGTTCAGTAATCTCAGATCCAAAATAGGGCGTATACCTCCGTCCTTCTTTGGTACAAGAAAATAACGGCTGTAGAAAGTTTTTCCGCTCTTCGGGAACTGTCTCTACTGCTTGTTTGGCCAGGAGAGAGGAGATTTCTTCCCGAAGTAACGGGGCGCTCTGTTCTGACACCTCTGTCAAAATCACACCGCCGAAGCGGGGGGGTCTGCGAGCGAATTGGAGCGTATAGCCGCGTTTTATCGTGTTTAACACCCACAGTGATGCTGTCGGTAGCGTCGACCACGCACCCAGGTGACTCGATAGGGGGGGCTTAAATGAATGCTGCAGCGGGGGCTGAGCGCCAGCCACCGGGGAAGCATTGGCCGCTACATGGAGGGCAGATGGCTCCTCCGCGGCTCTTTGCACGGGGACATAAATAGCCACCTTCTCGGGTTTCCCCGAGCTTCCGCTCTGCGAAACGTCTCCCGGGGGAGAGGTTTCGCTTATGGCGCGGGTAATAGTGTTGAGAGGAAGAAAGCTCTTTTGCTGAGACATGTAATGCACTTTGTTTATTGAAACAGAACACAGCGGTTTCAAAATCAACACATTCTCGTCGAACTCTGGGCGGGAACACGCCCTCTTTGCAGCGGGTCCGACGAACATATTGCGGCCGATTCCCTGAGCGACCTTCTTAGACGCCGCCAGAGCGAGATCTGCCGCCGTGCACAGTTTCCTGAGCAACTCAGGGTCCGGGCTTCCCTCATCCAGGGACCCTAGGAGTCGCGTCTGGAAAACCTGCAGAATTGCCATCGTATGGAGGGCAGATGCTGCATGTCCAGCAGAAGTGTAAGCCTTCTCAGCCATGTGGGCAGTAGCGCGACATGGTCTGGAAGGCAGTTGGGCGGTCTTCCAGCCAGGAGAAGACGCCAGATGAGCCGCGATGGCATCCTCGACGTGAGGCAACCGAGCGTACCCTAACTTCTCAGCCCCTTCCACTGTAGTCAGCAGCTGGGTACCTTGTGCATGGGCTCGGGCTGAGTAAGGGGAGCGCCATGATCTGGTGAGCTCCTCGTGGACCTCAGAGAAAAAGGGGGCGGGTCTCCGCGGGGCTTCAGCTTGACGGCCCGCGCCGAGGAAGGAACCGTCCATCCATCTTTTCGACGGCAGCTCCTTGGGCGCCGTCCACTCCAGCTCCATATCTGCCACCGCCTCTGAGAGAATGGCCATAAGTTCCGCATCCAAGGAGGCGGGGGCGCCTTCAGATGGAGATTCGGACAATGCCACCAATCCGGAGGCATTGGTGGACGTGGCGTCATCATCATCGTATCCAAACGAGACCATTTCCCGCGCTTCCTGAGGAGGGCGGTAAGAGGCCTCAGAGTAAGTCACGGGCTCTGCCACGTGAGGATGGCGTGGGCCTTGGGCCGACGTCAGCGCCTCAACAGAACCCGCGGATGGAAATCTCTGCTGTCTTCCGGTCCGCGGCTCGACGGCGGCAGACTGGGGAGAGGCAGGAGACACAAGGTCGTCGTTACGTGTAACGGCCAGCCTTGCACGAAGGATCTTGATGGGAAGCTCCTCACAGGCGGGACATCCCGATCCCTCAAGTGCCGCCTCAGCGTGGTCCCGACCCAGGCACAGCACACAAAGTTTGTGTGCATCCGGGAATTCGATGGGTCCACCACACGTGCGACAAAGAGTCATAGTATAATCCACCGGAACGCGAGAGGGGATAAAAACTCCTAATTTTACTCCGCTCTGAATGCGTAAATCAAACGGTGAAACAGACTCGAGTGAAGAAAAAAGATTCTGAGGTTTTTGGCGCCCGCCGTCACCTATATTGAGCAGTGTCAGCCAATCAGGTGATGGCGGGACTGCCATTGGCTATTTGCAAGCAAAAGAGTTATTCTATCAGACTTCATGTGGAAAATGGATTTCCCCATACGTAATGTCGAGAGACCGACTCGATAAGGGAACCTTTTCTATCGCCATCGAGGCTAATGTGCTGAAAGTCGAATCTGTCCCGTCGTATTTCTGGCATAAGTTTTAATTCGCTTTAGTGCTGAGAGTGTCTGCTCGACAGAAGCAGTAAGTTAAACAGGGAAAACACCTCAAAACATGACGATGTGTAACGTTACAGCTGACACAAGCACTCACGCAGATTTTTGAACGATATCAATGAGATCAGCGGGACTTTTGCCTTTAAAATCAGTCCTGGCATTTACAGTCAGTTCTGTTCTTACCCCGGACAGATCGATAAAGTTCCGTGACTCTGCGTATTAAAGCTGAATAAGGGATTTTTTCCGGTAGGTTTGAACCTGCTGGTGGTCGAGGAATGAAAGAAACATTCATTTGTGGGTTGAAAAACTATTAAATCTACAGGAATATATTTTAGTTTAGTTCGTTACAGATGTGGTTAGCTAGCTCTGACTACCAGTAATAGTAGTACACGGTCTGACCATCCAATCAAAGGACGTGAGAATGCCGACGTCATTGTACGCATGCTAGATGGCCCCGGTGCGCGATATTTTTTTTCACAGGATGGTAGGGGAAGACTCATGAATATTCATTAGGGAACTCATCCCTGATTGGTCTGATGACCTACCCCTAACCCCGCCCCTAAACCTACCCGTCACTGGGGGTCTGATGACTTACCCCTAACCCCGCCCCTAAACCTACCCGTCACTGGGGTTAAGACCAATCAGGGATGAGTTCCCTAATGAATATTCATGAGTCTTCCCCTACCATCCTGTGAAAAAAAATATCGCCCCCGGTGCAGTCAACTCGAAATCTGATTGGCTGATTAAATCTGACTGATTATCTGATTGGTTAAAGCAACAGTTTCATTGCCATTCATTTTAAGTTACAGGCGCCCGCACTGTCGATTCTGAAGGCAGATTTATTTGACCCTGGCAACACATGATGGCTGAAATATGATTGGATAAAAGCGCTTAAATAAATATACACTGGAAGCAGCGCAACCAAGAGAAAAGCTATTTAAGAGAATGGACTATTGGAAATAATTTAATACTCATTCATACAAAAAATATATTAAAGTGCAAGTCAGTGATTCTGATAGTGTTTAGGCCAGCAGAGAAGACCTTGCTGGCCCTGACGGCCCACCACTGATTATTATGAAATACCTGGCATGGCTTGAAGAACACAGGTAACTCAAATATCATTGCAATCATGTTTATTGTCTTCAAAACATCTTTATCTGCACTTTACAGCGATCTCTGGAAGCTTTGTTTTTGTGGCAGGACTTCCTGAATGTCACATGGTTATGCACTTCTTCGTGTGTTCCATATATGGACTTTACTGAATACACAGCGCCCTCAGACTGTCAGTATGAATTGAAAACACAGTACATCAGAGTATACAGCGCTCATAATGATTACATCGACGCATTTGGGTATAAATTCAGTAAACATTATTCCTGTCTATAGAAATCTGATGTAAACCTATGAGAATCTATCAATATTTCTCCAAATCTGCACATGTTTGAGCTAAAAGCCCTGAGGGACGTTGTTTTGTCAAGCGCTGTCATGACGATCGCACGGGAGTTTTTTTCTGAATGAGAGCAGCTGACGCTCATAATTCATTTTAAAGGTAACGACTCATTTTTTAATTTCATAACTCCTGACACAAATTAAGACATAACTGTCACTATAAGTTTCTCAGAATACAATAGTGGTCAAATACTGAAACTTGAGTCTTATATCTTTTTAATGATGTAAAGTTTGTCAAGTTAATAACATTAATTATGATATTAACTTTGAACTATTTAAAAAAACAAAACGCTTCAGAGCGCCCACGCTCTGGTTAAGCTTTTAAACTAATATTTGTTGGTTTAAATCAATAATTTACATGGTTGCACCACCTGATGAAAATCAGTTGTGCCACCTGACGACATTAATAATGACTGGGTATATGGTAATTACTGGACCTAGCAAGTTCATACACACATTTTTTAAATAAAAATAAAATTAAGTTTAGGATAAAATAGCATTTTCCTAGTTTTACATTGGTCATACCACCTGACATGGAAAGAGTTCCAACCTACACATACTTGAAAGTAGCTATTTTTATCAGTATTTGAGAGAGATCTACAAACCTATTAGGCTCTCTGATGATGGAGCCATAGGAAGCCACGGCTCATTAAGGCAGATTGCAAATGTCATTTTGCTGCTTCCTCCCTGGCCTTGTATTGAAGGATTGCAACGAAATTAATTTTGCATAGAGTCTCGGTTTTTGAATCAAAGCCAAAGCACGCATGACCCACGGCAAGTGTGATTAAATCACTGGTGGGGCTTTTAGAAGGAAGGTCAACCAAACCGCATTAAGACTGATTCCTCCAACCCTCTTCCCACCCAACTTCTCCCTCATCCAGCCGATTGTCATCTTTCATCTAAATAACTCTCTCCTTGTTCCATTCCCTAGATTGCCTGTTTGTAACTGACTATTTCACCCGGACGCCTCGCAAGCTCAATGCCTACCGCTCTTTTGCCAGCGTGGAGCTGTTCCACTTCAACGTGCCTGAAGACACTGTGGTGGCTGTTTGGAACCTCATCACCTTCAAGGAGCAAGGGGGCACCTTCGGAGACAGCTGCCCAGACCGCAACGTGACAGTGTGAGTTGGCTAAACTTCCAGGTTACATTCATTTAGGGGTGGGGGCAGACAAGGACAACAGTGTGATGAGGTCAGATATGTCCAATCAGCATTTCAAATGAGAGAAAGGAATATGTAAAAGCCAAATGTCACATGCATGATTATAATGACCTTTCTGATGCTCACGCTGAAGAGTATTCTCTGTTTGCCCTGATAAAATAGCTTTTAATCCAACTCCAAGAATCATTTCACAGATCCTGATCATTTTCTGTGCTCTCCATTTAAAAAAAAAAAAGGGGCATTTATCAAGTGTGGTGCCGGCAGATTTCACATCCTAACTACACACTGGAGATCCATAAGCATAAAATACCAAGTGACAGATACGATTTAAAATCCAAATCTTCACATTTTTACTAATTTTCACAAGGTCACATTCAGTAGAATTGCTTTAAGAGTTTTAATCTGTATTAAATGGCCTCTAAAATTAGGATGGCCCTATACTTTTATAAGTCATAAAGACATTGGTTCTCAGTCCAAGGTTATAAAACAAAAAAATGGCCATTTTTGCTTTGATGAGGGTATGGGATAAAAATAATTCAAACTAATTTGAAAAAGAATATTCCGGGTTCAGGACAAGTTAAGTTCAGTCCACAGCATTTGTGGCACAATGTTGATTACCGTGAAAATGTTTTTGACGGTGAAGTTGTGTAATTTTATTATTGCACTTAAGTTAGTTATTTTAACACTTTGTATTGTTTATAAAGATGTTTTTGTCGTTTTTACTGTTATTTTAAGGCTTTTAGGGTCTATGTTATCAGGCAACAAAGTTTGTTGATATATTAGATAATTAGATATAACTTTACACAGAAAAGGTTAGTAAGTGATTTTCACACTAAAATCCTTTGTCTTGTGGCTATATTATCGAAAAAGTGAGTATTTTAATGCCTACTGACTCGCTACATTTGCTTCCATTTTAAATGCCTCACTGTAGCCCAGATTTGTCAAAGAAAATGGTGGACAAAATGAACGTTATACTGTCGAATGATCTTGTGTTGAAACCGGAATATCCATTGAAACCCTGCCACATTTTCAATGTTTCAAAAAACTATTGCCCCATTTCCACACTTCCTAGACACAGATTAAGCCAGAAATTAAGTTTGAAACACTCACTCTTTTACATTTTCCTCAATTGAACTCTGTTACTTCATAAGGTGTACTTTTAGCCTTTATTTTTCTCTGTCCAATTCTTTCAAGTCATCCTTGAATGATCCCAGTGCACTTTCATAGCCAGCACACGGTGTGCTATAACACAAGAGCTGTTGTTAAAGTTAGTCTTGGCCCTGGGGTAATAAAAAATGGAGAATATTATTCACTGAATACTCAGGTCTTCAAATCCCAGTACACTGGCTGTCATTAAAGTTCCATCAAAACACTGACCTTGTTATTGCCTGTCACTGAATGTACATCATAAGTGGTGAGGAAGGAACTCTTGGCTGCTTTAATGTGTGACATAATAAAGAGGATGATAGACTGTCCTTGAGTCAATCTTCCAGTACTGGTTTCTTCTGACAGATAGCCACATCACAGATGTTTGCTATTTATGCATTCAGCATCCATTAAAATTAGAACATTAGTGTATGTTTTATTTCTTTGCCGCTGCTACTTCTTTGACCTTAAAATTGACAATAAAAGTAACATTAACTGTAGCATTAAGCTCAGGTTATTATGATGTTTTAAAAGCACTTCCTCCATGTATGCTCTTTGGCCCCTTTATTTCTTTGATTGCAGATTTCTTTCAGACTGCATATATAGAAGAACCAACTCATGTCTCCAAGGGCATATAACATTGTGAAAAAACCTCTCTGGTTGCCTCGAGGGAAAGCTACATAAGAAAGTTGCGGTATAAACAGTGATCTCTGTGTTAACTTTGGGAAGGACATATTTTAAACTAATAATTTCAGTCATAACTCCAGGGGAACATATTGCCTTTCATAATTACAGTAAGTACGCCCATGTTCCAGTTTGAGTGATAATGAAATATGTGTCTTCAGGGCCTATCAAGTACTAAAAATGGCCTACCCGTGTTTAAAAAAAAAAAAAAAAAAAAAAATCATGCTTTTGACAGAATTGTGATCCATCTTGTAAAATAGTGATATAGATAGAGTACATCTTATGATCATGATCTCATGATAATGTGTAAAACCCACAAGCTGGGTCAAAATAACCCAGAATGTGTTCTGTCCAATATTTACCCAGCACTGGGTTGCCAAATAACCCAGAAATGGTTGTTTTTAACCTAGCATTTTATATAGATATGGATATAGATATAAATATAGAGATGATGGATGTAGATAAAGATATAGAGACAGATGGGTAGATGGATGGATGTAAAGAAAGATGAATAGAAATAAAGATTGATAGATGGATATACACTCACCTAAAGGATTATTAGGAACACCATACTAATACTGTGTTTGACCCCCTTTCGCCTTCAGAACTGCCTTAATTCTACGTGGCATTGATTCAACAAGGTGCTGAAAGCATTCTATAGAAATGTTGGCCCATATTGATAGGATAGCATCTTGCAGTTGATGGAGATTTGTGGGATGCACATCCAGGGCACGAAGCTCCCGTTCCACCACATCCCAAAGATGCTCTATTGGGTTGAGATCTGGTGACTGTGGGGGCCATTTTAGTACAGTGAACTCATTGTCATGTTCAAGAAACCAATTTGAAATGATTCGAGCTTTGTGACATGGTGCATTATCCTGCTGGAATAGCCATCAGAGGATGGGTACATGGTGGCCATAAAGGGATGGACATGGTCAGAAACAATGCTCAGGTAGGCCGTGGCATTTAAACGATTCCCAATTGGCACTAAGGGGCCTAAAGTGTGCCAAGAAAACATCCCCCACACCATTACACCACCACCACCAGCCTGCACAGTGGTAACAAGGCATGATGGATCCATGTTCTCATTCTGTTTATGCCAAATTCTGACTCTACCATCAGAATGTCTCAACAGAAATCGAGACTCATCAGACCAGGCAACATTTTTCCAGTCTTCAACTGTCTAATTTTGGTGAGCTCTTGCAAATTGTAGCCTCTTTTTCCTATTTGTAGTGAAGATGAGTGGTACCCGCTGGGGTCTTCTGCTGTTGTAGCCCATCCGCCTCAAGGTTGTGCGTGTTGTGGCTTCACAAATGCTTTGCTGCATACCTCGGTTGTAACGAGTGGTTATTTCAGTCAAAGTTGCTCTTCTATCAGCTTGAATCAGTCGGCCCATTCTCATCTGACCTCTAGCATCAACAAGACATTTTCGCCCACAGGACTGCCGCATACTGGATGTTTTTTCCTTTTCACACCATTCTTTGTAAACCCTAGAAATGGTTGTGCGTGAAAATCCCAGTAACTGAGCAGATTGTGAAATACTCAGACCGGCCCGTCTGGCACCAACAACCATGCCACGCTCAAAATTGCTTAAATCACCTTTCTTTCCCATTCTGACATTCAGTTTGGAGTTCAGGAGATTGTCTTGACCAGGACCACACCCCTAAATGCATTGAAGCAACTGCCATGTGATTGGTTGATTAGATAATTGCATTAATGAGAAATTGAACAGGTGTTCCTAATAATCCTTTAGGTGAGTGTATATAGATAGGTGAATAGAGATGGATGGATGGATGGAAGGATATAGATAATATCGAAATGGGTATAGATGTAAATATAGAGATGATGAATGGATATAGAAATGGACAGATGGATGGATGGATGGATGGATGGATGGATAGAATGAAAGATGAATAGCTATAAGTATTTATAGGTGATATATATATATATATATATATATATATAAATATATAGATAGATAGATAGATAGATAGATAGATAGGTGAATAGAGATGGATAGATGGTGGATGGATGGATGGATAGATATAGATATAGATAATAAGCAATAAGGTACGAGAGGCTGTGCTGTATCGTGAATAAGTCACGGCTGAAGGGCGTTGTTAGGCACGACGCAAAGTGAAGTTCCGTATTGCTTTTATAAAACGATTAACACACAATTTTAAAGCAAAAAAATCTGTATAGATGGAACTTTCATGAAGTCGAATCACTAAAAGCCTTCCTTCCGCTGGAAAAAAATAGGCCCTGACCGTGAACAGCAACAGCAGTTACATTATTTCGTTTTTAGATGGCGGCAAAGACTGTCTTTATGAGTGAGTCAGTCAGCAGAGAAGACTTTTATATTGAAAGGACTGAAACTTTTGAACATGGATAAGCAAGACGCAACTGACAAATGACTGTGGCACGGAAAACCCATTAACTGTTAAAAGAACAAGGTATCACGGACATTCAAACTAATTTTTTTAATTATGAATATAGGACTGACCTGGAGGAAAATGTTATATCTACTGTAAATGCAGGTACACTCTCTTACTCGATCTCTCACAATACTCTACTATACAATGAACAATATCAATGAGATCAAACATGTGTTTGCCAAGTTGCAAGTTGCCAAAAGTGGTTGCTAGGGGTGTTGTGTACTAGTGATACATAGAACCGTTGGGTGAAGTGGCCATAGCCGTGTTTTATCGTGAATAAAACACAGCTATTGACCAATCAGAATCAAGGATTGCAACTAACCGTTTTATAATACTCTATAAGCTTCAATGAACAATATAAATGAGAACAAACATTTGTTTACATTGCAAAGATTGGTTGCTAGGGGTGTTGTGTAGTGACACATAGAACCATTGGGTGAAGCGGTCATAGGCGTGTTTTATCGTGAATAAAAAACATCTATTGACCAATCAGAATCAAGGATTGGAACTAACCGTTTTATAAATATAGATATAAATATAGAGAGGATGGATGTAGATAGAGAGATGGTTGGATACATTGATGGATGGATGGATGGATGGATGGATAGATAGATCAAAATGGTTATGAATTTTAGGAATATACACATTTTATAAAAGGGAAATAATATTATAAATAATTTTGTGTCGATAGATTGC